ACTATAGAATCCCTTCCTGTTATCCTTAACATCCCTGGACAAGTTTAATTCTAACTGGGCCTTAGCCTTCCTAACCTGGTCCCTAGCTTCCCGGACAACATCCCTGTATTCTTCCCAGGCCGCCTGTCCTTGCTTCCACATTTTATAAGCCTCTTTTTTTCCTTCAATTTTTCCTCAGCAGCTCCTTATCCATCCAAGGAGGTCTCCTGGCCCTCCTGCTGCACTTCCTTGTAGTTGGGATGCAACACTCCTGAGCTTGTAGGAGGTGATCCTTGATTATCAACCAACAGTCTTGTGCCCCTCTGCCTTCTAGGGCTATATCCCATGGAACTTTACTAAGCAGGTTCCTGAAGAGGCCAAAGTCTGCTCTCCCGAAGTCCAGGGCAGTGAGCTTGATGCACGCTCTTCTCACTGTCCTGAGGATCTCGAACTCAAGCATCTCATCATCACTGCAACCAAGGCTGCCCTGGAGCGGCACATTTCCAATGAGCCCTTCTCTGTTGGTGAGCATGAGGTCAAGCATGGCACCTCTCCTTGTCGGCTCCTCTGTTAGTTGCAGGAGGAAGCTGTCTTCCACACAATCGAGGAACCTCCTGGATTGCTTCTGCTGGGCCGTACCATCCCTCCAATAGATATCAGGGTGGTTGAAGTCCCCCATGAGGACAAGGGCCTGCGAACGTGAGGCTGTTCCTATCTGTCTATAGAGTGCTTCATCCAGAGTCCTCTTGATCAGTCAATTTGTCACAGATTCCCACAGTAATGTCTCCCATAGCTGTTCTCCCTTTAACCCTGACCCACAAACTCTCTGTTAACTGATCCTCTGTCCCCAGAGTTCCATACTCTCCCGCCTATCACTAACATAAGTAGCAACTCCCTGTCCTTGTCTGTTAGGCCTGTCTTTTCTAAAGAGCCTGTAGCTTTCCATTCCAACACTCCAGTCATAGGAGCCATCCCACCCTGTTTCTGTGATACCTATTATATCATACCCCCGTAGACATGCACACATCTCTAATTCCTCTTGTTTATTCCCTATTGTCCTGTGTGTTTGTGGAGAGGCATCTGAGCCGAGCTCCAAATTATGCCAGCTGATTGGCTGGAGCTGGTGGAATATCTCTACATTGCTCTGAGCATTTATTATAGGTGCTGGCAACTGACTGGGAGTTTTGGGATGAAATGATGCCCCTCTCTCACAACACATCTAGTTTAAAGCTTTGTTGACCAGCCTGACAAGTCTCCTACCAAAACTGCTCTTCCCCTTTGTTGTCAGACCAGCTCCACCAGCCTCCAGTTGACCTGGCCTCCCAAACTGAGGCCCATGTTCAAGATACCGAAACCCCTGACTATGGCACCACTGTTCTAACCATTTATTAACCTGGCCAATCTTCCTAGCCTTTTTAAGGTCCTCCCTTTTATCCTGGAGAATTGATTAAAAGACTATCTGAGCTCCAGAGCCCCTAACCACCTCTCTCAGGGCTCTGTAGTCCTTCTCAGTGTTCTCCGAGCTACTGTTGTCTATATCACTAGCACCCGCATGGACAACTAGAAGTGGGTAGTAGTCAGTGGGACTTACTAGACCAAGTAGCCGCTCTGCAACATCCCTGATCTGAATCCAACACTGCACACCGTCTCTCCTGCCCTGAAAGACTGTTAGAAGAGATGGAGCCTGACATCATGGACTGAATGAACTCAGCAGCTTTATAGGAATTGGTCCATGTATTAAGGAATGATATCTCTCTCTTTGTGTGTGTATGGATGCATGTATATATATATATATATGGGACAAGAGTGATGGGATATTGAAAAATGTGGGATCTGAGCATGACGTGAATGGTATGGAATAAGGGGCGGATACTGTCCTGGGTTCAGCAGTAGCAGTCATTTTTCTCCTTAGTAGCTGGTGCAGTGCTGTGGTTTTGACTTTCAGCCAGGGAAGAATGCTGATAACACCGATGTTTTTAGTTGGTGCTAAGTAATGTTTATTCTGACCAAGGACTTTCTGAGTCTCATGCTCTGCCAGGGAGTAGGGGAAGCTGGGAGGAAGCAGAGAAAGAACACCTGACCCAAACTAGCCAAAGGGTTATTCCATACCACAACAAGTCATGCCCGGGATGGAGAACTGGGGGGAGTTACCTGGAAGGGCTAGGTCGCTGCTCAGGTTGGGCTGGGTATCGGTCAGTGGTTGGTGAGCGGTTGTGTTCTCTTCCCTTGTTATTTCCCTTTTCAATATTATTATTGGTGGTAGCAGTAGTGGTTTTGTGTTATACCTTAGTTAGTGGACTGCTCTTGTCTCAACCTGTGGGAGTTGCATTCTTTCGATTCTCCTCCCCATCCCTCCAGGAGCAGGGGGAGGAAGTGGGGAGGGGGGACTGAGTGAGTGGCTGTGTGGTTCTGATTTACCAGCTGGGCTTAAACCACAGTATTGAGGAATATGAGTCATTTGTAAAGAACACTCCCACTGGGAATTAACCTGGTCACTGGGTCTCACATGCCAGCTGGATTGGCAGCATTTGAGGAAGCTAGAGTTCACTGAGTGCATCTGTAGTTGGGCACATGTATTATCCTCATATATCACTAAATTATTGATCAGTCATGTTTTAACAAAAACTGGGAAAGAGATTGACGTTTACCTGGAAGTCTGCAGCACACACAAGTATCAGCTAGCTTGGAGGAGAGCCACCACTTTCACTGAGTCTCTAGAATTCAGCACTCTTCTCCTCCCCAGTATGCCATTCTGGGGCTCCTTGCAGTTCTGCGTCTCTGTCCGTCCTCCTCAGGAAACAGAGTGCCTGAACTAGCCCTAGCCCTGCTTACATGGCTGGGCTTTATCTGAAAAAAGAGAAAAACAAAATGAGATCCATGCCTAAACAAATTTCAGACTCTGAACTTCCCATAGCAAAACACAGCAGGGTATTGGCTCCACTCAGGGAAAATAAATACATACATAAATATATAAATTTGAGCTAGTATGTTTACTGCATGATCATATTTCTTTCTTTTTTTTTGCAGTAGAATTCCCCTACAATAAATATACTTTGTTTTTGTTGTTGTTATATGTAAACAGCTGAAGAGCAAGTGTTCAAAATAACTGGATTTTCTTTTAATGCTATTAATCAGACTAGGTTGTTCCTTCCTCTTTATAATTTCTTCTTGACTTGTTTTTAACACTTCAGTGATTTTAAAGTGGCCTCATTTCTTGTGTTTTGAAATCAGTACTGAGCCAGTTTACACCCATAAGGATCTAGACTAGTTCATTCCAGATTCCAGTGTGATTCCAACTAATTCCAGAGTAATTCCGCTGACTTAAAAGTAATTGCACCAACAGTGTATTTTGGTCCATAGCAAATATTATGAAACCTGGCAGAAAAAAAAAAAAAAACGTAAAGATTTTTACAAGTCAGTCTGTAGCATTTGAATCCCATTGACAATAATTTCTTAAGAATGCAGGCACTAGAAACAATTTTGCAAAAATAGGAAATGAAAACTCAGTTTCAGGATTCCTCAGATCTTACAAAATCTCTTGCCCATACTGAGTCCATTTAATATTTATGAAAATCAAAACATAAGAAATTCTGTAATTATCCTTACCTTTTATTCCATTAACATAATAATTTTGGCTTAACATGTTCAGAAAACACCCATTATTGAGAAATATACAGCATTATAAAACTGTTCCCCAACATGTCCTATAATTGCATAATTTTATCACTTGCATCAGAGTCTGACAGTAAACACAGAATCTTTTGGAAACACAGTTTTGATAAATAACACACTTTTTGCCAATCTTAACATATTACACAAAAATTAAAGAATTTTAATAACTGAACTTTTAAAACAAGAGCCAGCTGCTGCAAAGCTAACATATTTTGTGAAATCCTGCTGTTCCTAATGTGTTGGGTTTCTTTTCCTGCAGTTCTACCAAAAGCATTTTATGTACAGTACTTTGAAGATTAAACTGTGGTCCAACAGATAGCAACAGGTCCAGTTTTCTACTCTTTCCACACATCTGGAAAGCTGCTCACCTTTATATCTATTCTAAACACATGAAACTCCTATGACACCTAGAGATTCTTCAATGCTTTTATGGTCTTCTGGAGCACTGGCATACAGCACCCAGCAACAGCTGTATTGCTCTGTGAACTGCATGAGAGTTATGTTCTGAATTATACTTCTCTTCACACTTCAACTTTCTAGTTGGTTTCCAATGGAAATTTCCAGTCAGCCTGTGGAAAACAAGAAAACGCTTTGCTAAATCTTAAGTAATGAAGTTCTTTCATAAACCCAAGACCCTAATATTGCTATTGTTGCATGAGGGGTGGGAAATTTAGATTGCCATGGGATTTCTTTGTTCAAAATCCCTCTTCTGAGGCACCCTGCTCAAGCTGTAGTGCTATTAATAAAAAAGACTTTATAGAAGAATCTCCTCTCAGCCTATAGATTCAGCGGAAACCTAGAGTCAAACCCCTTTATAGTGGCTGGCATTCATAATTTCCGTAACACAGTAAGGGCAGTCAAATATTTTCAGCACTTTGTTACAGTGGCAATTTGCACGGACTTGTTGGTTCATTTATGAAACTCGCGAACGCACAGACTTGAGGTCTGGGAGAAATGACGGTGATTAATCTTACCCTAATGGTGAATTTAATGCATTTTCCTTTCATGAACGGAAAGCAGCCGTGCCCCTCCCAGGGGCGGAACAGCCGAGAAGCCGAGGCCACCTCTCCGCCGCCACACCGCCTTCCTGCGGGGCTTCAGGTGGCTGTAGCTGGTCGCTTCCCCAGCCAACCTTCCTGCCGGGAAGAGTGGCCGCCTGTCGTCGGGGCTCCCAGCCCTGTTCCGGGCCGAGACTGCACGAAGCGTACTAGCCCTGAGGTAGACAGGCTGGCTGTCCCACTCCGTTCCTAGGCCGGGCCTCGCGTGGCCCGGCGCAGCTCAGCTCGGCTCCTCGCGGCGGCACCGGCCACCCCCAAAGGCCGCGCCCCGTCCTGAGCCGCGTGGTGCTGGCTGGCAGACTGACAGAGTGCCAGACTACAACTCCCAGAATACACCGAAAAATCAAACTGCGCACCCTATCATGTGAAAGGTGATCGTGTACTACGCGACTTCCGCCGTGTAGTACAGGTTGGGAATGCGAGTAGCGATTGGCTGGCGCTTGATCCGCTTGTCAACGTGCTGGGGAGCAAGAAGCGGTAACGGAGGAGTGAGCGCGGCAGGACGAGAGGCTCCTTGCGGTGAGTACCTAACAGAACTGCTTTCCCACCTCACAGGACGCCATGCCACCTAGAAGCGATCCGGCCGGGATTTAAAAAGTCATCGATTTAATGCGCGCTTTGATGACGTAATAACTACTAACGAGGCTGCGGTGCTGCTAAACGCATGGCTCGGACCAGCACTATCCTCGGATGCACTCCCGTAGAATAATTGCGCCTGCCGGTGGTTCCCCGCGCTGCTCTTGAAATTCCCGTGCCCAACTGGCACTCAGCGCTAACTAGGCCTTCCGCTTCCTCCTACTCCTGGGACTCGGCGAGCGCTCATTGGCTTCTCCACCTGGGGCGTGCTCTGCCACCGCCCTACGATTGGTGGTTGACGCACTGACTGTCATCAGCGCCTGCCAATGAGGTTGCAGCTGGCCACTGTGCAGGCTAAAGCTCCGAGGTGGTTAGCCTCGTTTGGTTGGTCTTCGAGAGTTTTGCGGAGTTGTTGGGTGGTGGGGACTCTAAGGAACGTTGACGGCAGGTCGTGGTGCCACCTTACGGTCTCTGTGGGCAGCAGGAGGCCTCTTACTGCCCCTGGGCAGTGTAATACCTGGTGTTTGCCCTGCCCGGCTTGGTAGGGCGTGAGTGCCTGGGTCACTTTTGCTTCGGAGTGAGGTCTTGTCCGTGGCTGAGAGGGGACTGAGGGACTGGCTCGTATCTTTGCTCTGTGTCTGTTATTTTAGAAGGAAAATATACAGCAAAATGCACGAGAAATACCCGTGTTTGTGTTCTCTTGAAGTGGTTACTTGCCAAGTGTCCCTCATCTTTCTTTCCTGAGATGGCTAGAATGAGATGGCAGTGGTTTGACCAGTGCTCAGTCTGCTGACCTGTGTTGTCTGAATTGCTATAACTGTTCTGCCTGCCTGTGTTTGTGTATGATCCGTATAAGCAAAGAAAACGTCTAGTGCCTAAAATAAGAGGAGTTCCTGTTGAAGTCCAGGAGTGTAGAAATAATAAGATGGCCTCACTGAGGTAGGTTTATAAGAGCAGATATGCAAATTGCATGCCTATGACATACATCCAGTGTCAGAGGCTGATATGGTGAAGTCAGTAGTCAACTTGGTCTTCCAAGAAAATCCAGGCAAATAACTCAATTATTTCAGTTTCCATCTCTCATCTATGAGCCTGCATGTAAGTGCCAGTTTGGATTGCTTCTGTCTCCCTTGCTTGGCTGCTTAGTTTTTCGTCAATGATTTGTGCCTTTCACTTCTTGCTGCAAAGTAGCATTATGAAAATATGCTGTTCTCTTGGGCTTTCTTATGCAATGTCACTGAGTTTAAAATGAAAATATTGAATGTTGCAACTGTATTTTGATATGTGATAAATTCACATGGCTTTTATTAGTTTTGTGTTAATTCTGGACAATAAATTAGCTGTCTTAAGTTGTAATTTTCCTGTTCATGACTTTCAGTGTTATGAGACTGAAACTTCAAAATTTCTTATCTTGGCTTGCTCCGTTATTTTGAGAGGTTTTTTTGTAAGAACTTCCTATGAATGTGTTTTGGTAGTAAATTTGGGGTAGGTGGAAATAATGAGATGTGGGGGTTAAAATTTTGTTTGGTTTAACTTTTGGGGAATCAGGCTTTTACCTGCAAGCCATCTGTCCTTGTATGATGTATCAGAAATGGGCCAGAAGAATTAAACACTGTAGTAAGTGGCTGACAGATTCCCACATGAAACTTTATGTGGAATACCAGACAACAGAAGAAAGGTAGGAGCTGCTGGTCATCTGTTTTAGACCCATCATTACATATGAGGTAAAGACAGCAGCAGCATTTTCTCCCTTCAGCCTCACCTTCCTATTTGCCTTCACAAGACCCTGATTTGTATTTTGGCATCTGCAAAGCAGTGATAGCAGCTATAGCTAGACTTCCATAAGCAGTTGCTTCTGTTCTTCTTTCATACTCTTGGCAAACTGACTTATCCATAGGACAGTTTTTCTGAGATGCAAGAAAGAGTGTGCTTTGTAGTAAAAATAGGTGTCCTGGGGGAAGTTACTTGGAAGGTGCAGATGGCTGCTCAGGTTGGGCAGGGTATCGGTCAGCGGGTGGTAAGCAATTGTATTGTATGTCACTTGTGTTTATTGTTTTCCCTTTCCCCTTTTATATTCTCTCCCTTTGTTATTTCCCTTACTGTTATTCTTGGTGGTAGCAGTAGTGGTTTTGTGTTATACCTTAGTTAGCGCACTGGTCTTATTTTTATCCGTGGGTTTTGCATTGTTTTGATTTTCTTCCCCATCGGGGGGTGGGGGGGAGGGAGAAGGGGTTGGAGTGAGCAAGTGGCTGCATGGTTTAGTTACCAGCTGGGCTTAAACCATAACAATAGGAATTCCACAATTTTCTTTACTTGATATGTTTGTCATAAAAAATAACTTTGCTTTTATCGCAGCCAGGTAATTCTTCTCTCTACTTTTGTTGAACCCCATATACCAGTGTTTGTTGGAAGTATACCAGTATGTGTGTTTGTTGGAAGGGAGGTAGAATTTATACAGCTGCACAGGAGATTTAGCAAGCATGGTGGTATCAGCTCAGATGTTGTTAATGCACATAAGGATCAGGTTAACAGGTTTGTGCTCAGGACTTTCCAATCACACCAAAAAATCTCCACCAGAAGTTACGAAGCACCCAGAATTTTCTATCTCTATATTTAATGTTTGGCTTGATACTAGCTGCTCTTCTGCCTTTCTTCCTTTAATGTGACTTTGAAGTGTCTTTGCTTTTTCTGTGGCATTTTTGATACTAGAGCCATGTGAATGTGGGAGTTGAAGATGAGTGCTGCTGCACAGATCTGAAGTAATTTTTGTTGGGAGTTAATTTTTGAAATGCTTTAATTGAAGCACTTGGACTTTCTCCAGAGATCCTTCTGCATAAGCAGCACACTAACATATGTGTCTCATTTACAGGCACAGAGTTGTGTTAAAACACTTCAGGTTTGAGAATCTCTGCAACTTCTACCTCCTGTGTTTCTTGTATAAGTAAGGGAGTAAGAGCCATCAGATTACAAGCCTCCATGTTTCTCTCAAAAGGTTGGCAAAGACTATTTTGTGTTGCAGGGGGAGAAGTGTAAGAAGGCTAAGAGAATAAGAAGCTCTTGGGTGTGACAACACCTGGCAACTCCTTTGTACTCAGAAGCTGAAAAGTGCTGCTTTATTGCATCCTTATTTAAAGGAAGTAAACGTCTTGTGTTCACAAAATACAAAATGTGACTTAAGTATGAAAACTGTCAGAACTGTTCTTCTACCGAGTGGACTGGTAGAATTGCAAGAAGTAATTTTATAAAGGTTCTGACATTACACTGCTGAGGTATTATAGAATAGCTAGCTGTGGAGATGTTATATCCCTGCAGTATTTGCTTTGAGGGAGGTGGGCCTCTGATGAATCTGTAGAATAAAGAAATGCACTTACCCACTTTGACTGTGTTTTCCATGTGTATAAGTAATGCTATACTCCATTAAACTGAATGCTTCCTACCTGTCACCTAAAATCAAGTAAACCTGTTACTGAGACAATTTGTTGTTTTGTAGTCCCTGAAAAGTGCTAGTTAGTTCATGTTTGTATACTAACCAGACTGTGTAGTATTTACTAACTTGTGCTGTATTCTTACTGTCCTACCACATTTTTTGCAGACTAGTCCTTTTGCCATGGATGCTGAAGAAATGATGGAATGTATCAAGGAATTCCCTGAGCATTATAAAGTTATTTTGAATAGACTGAATGAGCAACGTGAGCAGGATCAGTTTACAGATATCACTCTGATTGTTGATGGTATGTATGTACAGGCCTGAGAACCAGTTGGTATAGAGAATTCTGAAAGCTGTGTTGGGAAGCTATGCGGCTTGTCACAGGTCAGCTGCCAAACTGGGTTGCTAATGTTCTTGGATCTGTATTGATGTGCAAGTTGCTTGCAGATTTTCATTTAAAATCTTGGGCTGAACAGAGTCATCAGCAGTGGTTAGTAATTTTGCTTCTGTTTTTCCAAACAAGGGGCTAAATATTTTCAGATAGAAGCCCACTTTGAAACTTCTGTACTATATTTAATGTGTTGTCTAAGGATTGAGAAAGTATCCTGTCCTGGGTTTAGCAGTAGCAGTCATTTTTCTCCTTGGTAGATGGTGCAGTGCTGTGTTTTGACTTTTGGCCTGGGAGCAAAGCTGATAAAAATGATGTTTTGGTTTGGCCAAGGACTTTGTGAGCCTCATGCTCTGCCAGGGAGGAGGGGAAGCCGGGAGGAAGCAGAGACAGGACATCTGACCCAAACTGACCAAAGAAGTATTCCATACCACAGCACATCATGCCCAGGGGGGAACTGGGAGTTACCCGGAAGGGGCTAGGAAACTGCAGGGTTGGAGGATGTATCGGTCGGTGCTTGGTCGGGCTGGGGGGGTGACTTATCAGTCGGCTGGTGATGAGGTGTTGTGTTCTCTTCCCTTGTTATTTCCTTTATCATTATTATTATTGGTGGCAGCAGTAGTGATTTGTGTTATACCTTAGTTACTAAACTGTTCTTATCTCAACCCGTGGGAGTTGCATTCTTTCTGATTCTCCTCTCCGTCCCTCCAGGAGTAGGGGGAGGGCAAAAAGGGGGAGGAGTGGGTGAACAAGCTGTCTGGCTGGGGTTAAACCATGACATATCCTAAAAATATCTTTGCCTAACTTGAGCTGGCTGCATGCAGAGAACTTACACAAGTATTTGTTAGTGTATTTGTTGTATTTGTTGATTAAAAAAAAAAAAAGAATCCAACAACCTCAAAACCCCACAAAAAAACCCTACCCACAAAAAAACGAACAAACTAAAAACTCCAGATTAAAATAAGATTGCCTTCCTGCTTCTCTAGTATCTGCCTACTATTTTGATGACACCAAGTTGAGTAGTGCACTTGACATGCCTGAGGGACAGGATGTCATGCAGAAGGAATTGCACAAGCTTGAAGTGGGCTCACGTGAACCTCATGAGGTTCAACAAGGCCAAATGCAAGGTCCTGCACCTGGGTTGGTGTTGTGGTTTAATCCTGGCTGGTAATTCAGAACCACGCAGCTGCTCACTCACTCCCCTCTGTTCTTCCCTTGCTCCCAGAGGGATGGAAAGGAGAATCAGAAGAATGTAAATGCCACAGATGATGATAAGAAAAGTCCAGTCACTAAGATATAATACAAAACCACTACTACTAATACCAATAATAATTTGATAAGGGAAATAATAAGGGGAGAGTATATAAAACTAAAATGGGAAAAGGAAAACAATAAACACAAGTGATGCACAATACAATTGCTCACTACCTGCTGACTGATACCCAGCCCAACCCAGCAGTCATCTGGGCCTTCTGGGTAACTCCCCCTAGTTTATATACTGGGCATGAAGTGCTGTGGTATGAATTTCCCTTTGGTTAGTTTGAGTTAGGTGTCCTGTCTGTGCTTCCTCCCAGCTTGTGCCCTCTCTCACTGACAGAGCATGACACTGAGAAAGTCCTTGTTCGGATTATTTAGCAACAACTAAAAGCATCAGTGTTGTTCTCAGGCTAAAGTAAAAAATGCAGCATTGCACCAGCTACTAAGAAGGAGAAAAATAACTCTTACAGCTGAACCCAGGACAGTTGGTGCAACCCCCAGTATCAATACAGGCTGGGGGGTGAAGGATTGAGAGTATCCCCAAGTAGGACTTGGGCATACTGGTGGATGGAAGATGGCATGTAAGACAGCAATGTGTGCTTGCAGCCCAGAAGCCCAGTCGTATCTTGGACTGCATTCAAAGGAGTGTGGCCAGCAGGTCAAGGGAGGTGATTCTGCCCCTTTCACTGGTGAGGCCCCACCTGGAGTACTGTGTCCAACTCTGGAGTCCTCAATACAGGAAAGATATGGACCTGTTGAAGAGCCACAAAAGTGATCAGAGGGATGGAGCACCTCTCCTATGAGGAATGGCTGAGAGAGTTGGGGATGTTCAGCCTGGAGAAGGCAAGACAAGTTTGCTGATGACACTAAACTATGTGGTTCAGTTGATACACTGGAGGGAAGGGATGACATCCAGAGGGGCCTTAGCACAATTGAGAGGTGGGCCAATGCCAACCTCATGGAGTTCAACTAAGCCAAGTGCAAGGTCCGACACCTGGGTTGGGGCAATCCCAGGCACAGATACAGGTTGAGCAGTGAAGTAATTCAGAGCAGCCTGGCAGAGGACGACTTGGGGATGTTGGTTGATGAGAAACTGAACATGAGCTGGCATTGCTCACCTTTACTGTGAGGGTGGTGAGGTACTGGAACAGGTTGTACAAAGAAAAACTTTGAGCAGGATATTAAATATCTGAAAAAAGAAACACTATGGAATGAGCAAGTCCTCCAGTTGATTGAGTTGTAGAGCTTCAACAAGCTCAGTGATGTCAGCAAGGGCCTGCATGAGATGGGATAGGCTAGGTGCAGTGGTATTCCATGTTAGAAGGAGACATATAGTATATGCTGCTGAAATAGATTTGTAGACCGGGGTGGTTCTGCAGTTGTGCTCTTCTCTGCATCTGCCCTTATTCTTTACTATAGAATCATAGAATAGTTAGGGTTGGAAAGGACCTTAAGATCATCTAGTTCCAACCCCTCTGCCACGGGTAGGGACACCTCACACTAGGCCATGTTGCCTAAGACTCTGTCCAACTTGGCCTTGAACATTGCTGGGGATGGAGAATTCACCACCTCTCTAGGCAACCTGTTCCAGTGCCTCACCACCCTCACAGCAAGTAACTTCTTCCTTATATCTAAAATGAACTTCCCCTGGTTTAGTTTGAGCCTGTTACCCTTTGTCCTATCACTACAGTCTCTAATGACGAGTTCCTCCCCAGCATCCTTGTAGGCCCTCTTCAGATATTAGAAGGCTGCTAAGAGGTCTCCACCCAGCCTTCTTCAGGCTGAACAGCCCCAACTTTCTCAGCCTGTCTTCATATGGGAGGTTCTCCAGCCCCCTAATCATCCTCATGGCCCTCCTGTGGACTTGTTCTAATAGCTCCATATCTTTCTTATGTTGAGGACACCAGAATTGCACACAGTACTCTAAGTGGTGTCCTGTGAGATCAGAATAAAGGAGCATTATCACCTCCTTTGACCTGCTGGTCATACTTCTTTTGATGCAGCCCAGGATATGATTGTCTTTCTGGGCTGTGAGTGTACACTGCTGGCTCATGTTGTTTCTCATCAACCAACCCCCCCAAGTCTTTCTCTGCAGGGCTGCTCTGGGTCACTTCTCTGCCATGAATAAGGATGGTGTTATCCTAAACTGATTTTTTTTTTTCCTCTTTTTGTAGGTCACCATTTCAAAGCTCATAAGGCTGTTCTTGCTGCCTGTAGCCAGTTCTTTTACAATTTTTTTCAAGATTTCACTCAGGAGCCCTTGGTGGAGATTGAAGGTATTCTTATTCACGCAAATAAAAGCCTTCAGAGTTGTGTGCCCAAGCTCAAAATGAATGCAGTATCCTTGGTATGGATTTAAAGGCATGCTCGGTTATGTTGATTAGCTTTCTAGGTCTCAGCTCTTGAGTTGTTCTGAAACAGTGTTGTGATTTAGCCCTGGCTGACAACTAAGCACCACACAGCAAGGCTTGCTTGTTCCCCTACCAGTGAGATGGGGGGGAGAATTGGAAAGGTAAAAGTGAGAAACTCATGGGTTGAGATAAAAACAGTGTAATAATTAAAAAGAAATAATAACTTTCAAAACATGGTAAGGAAAAGAGAAAATATAACAGAGGAAATATAACAGGAAAAAATATAACAGGAAATTAAAACCCAAGAAAGACAAGTGATACAAAGGAACAGCTGCTTGCCACTGACTGATGCCCTCTGCCTGTCTTCCCCCACCCCCCTCTAGTTTTATCACTGATCATGATAAGGTGAGGTGAATTAGTGGTGAGGCACTGAAACAGGTTGCCCAAAGAAGTTGTGAATGCTCCATCCCTGACAGTGTTCAAGCCAAGTTGGACAGAGTCTTGGGTGACATGGTTTAGTGTTTGGTTTCCCTGCCTATGGCAGGGGGTTTGGAATTAGATGATTTTAAGGTTCTTTCCAACCCTAACTATTCTATGCTTCTATGATGTCATATGGTATGGAATATCCCTTTGGTCAGTTGGGGTCAGCTGTCCTAGCTGTGTCCCCTACCAACTTCTTGAACATCCTTGGTTTCCTTGCTGGTGGGTCAGTATGAAGAGTAGAAAAAGACCTTGACTTGAGTGTAAGCATTGCTCAGCAGTAACTGAAACATTAGTGTTTTATCGAAGTTATTTTCAGAACAAATCCAAAACAGAGCACTTTTTGAGCTACTATGAAGTAATTTAACCCTGTCCCAGCTAAAACCAGTACAGATAGCTATTGCCACTGGAAAAAAACTTCTGAGGAAAAATAAAAAAGAGAAAGATGCCTTGGTAGGAGTGTAAGAACGGGGTACGTGTGGAGCAATACTTGCTTGACAAGCAAGGAGCAATTTCCTGGAGTAATATGGCTTCCAGTAACTTTCTGCTCAGAGGTCTCTGAGAGAGAGATCTCATTTTTTTATGTTTAAATTTATGGGTTTTATTATTTTATGCAAACAGCTTTTTGTCCATCTTACCGCTCCTTTTGTCATTGGTGTGTCCTGGGTTCAGCTGTAGGAGTCATTTTTCTCCTTCCTAGTTGCTGGTGCAGTGCTGCGTTTTTGACTTCCAGTGTGGGAACAATGCAGATAACACACCAGTGTTTTCAGTTGGTGCTAAGTAATACTTACTCAGATCGAGGACTTTTAGTCTCATGCTCTGCCAGTGAGGAGGAGCATGGGAAGCCAGGAGGAAGCAGAGACAGGATACCTGACCCAAACTAGCAAAGGGGTATTCCAAACCACAGCATGTCATGCCCAGTATATAAACTGGGGGTAGTTACCTGGAAGGCCCAGATCGTTGCTTGGGTCGGGCTGGGTATCTGTCAGCAGGCAGTGAGCAGTTGTATTCTCTCCCCTTGTTATTTCCCTTATCATTATTATTATTAGACCGTTGTGAGACAGGTTAGTTTTACCCTACTGATGATGTGTTGTTGCAATAGTAATCCTGCTTAGTCTGAGAGGAACCGCAGGTTCAGACCCCTAGTGCATGCACTTGGATGAGGAGCCACTGGCACGAGGCTACCATCTGCGGGCTCATGACTGAACGCCTCTAAGTATCCCACCTAGATGTTTGTTGTGTTATTGCCTCATCCGTCGCTTGTGATTGACCCAGGAGTTGACAGTCTTGTTCAGAATGCGTGGGTAAAGGTTTTCTCGAATCTTTGTTAGCGAAGACAGGCCTTCCTCATAGGAGAAGGAAAACTCTTATCTTCAGACCCAGGCTGATGGAGCTCATCTAGCCTTGTATGGTCTTCCATCAAAGACAAGGACACTCTTACAAAACCTACGACCTGTGGACTTTGCTGTCACTGTCCTAGCTAACTAGGCTGTGGCAGTTAAACCTCAGGTTTAAAGGGTGGGGCCAGTTCTGTGCAAGCTGCACTTCACCTAAAAAATCCACTGTGCAGGCTGGAGGGGCTTACTCTCACTTGTCTGTATGGATAGGCGAGGGTCGAAACGGTAGGTGTCAAGGTGCATGGGAAGCTGCAGATCCAACCTTGCATGCGGGTGGACCAGTGCATGGGTAGCTCGAGATTGTTCAGGAGATGACAGTCCTGGTCGGACACTTCCTGTTTGCCTAAGCACCCCTTTTTTCCAACTAGATTTGCATATCCCATATGCCCTTGGTCATCGTGCTTGTAGTAAGCATGGTTAAAGCCCTTCCCAAATCTTTGTTCGCGAAGCCAAGCTGTATTTATTATTGGTGGTAGCAGTAGTGGTTTTGTGTTACACTTTAGTTACTGGACTGTTCTTATTTCAGTCTGTGGGAGTTACATTCTTTCGATTCTCCTCCCTATCCCTCCAGTAGCAGGGGGAGGAAGAAGGGGGGGAGTGAGCGAGCAGCTGCATGGTTCTTAGTTACCAGCTGGGCTTAAACCGTGACGGTGTGACGTGACCCTATAGTTGTTCCAGATTTACACTTTTCTATAGTACATATTTTATTCCAACATGAGCCTTTCAAGAGTGGCATCTTCATGAAACTGGTTGTCTAAGTGTTGTGAGCAAAATGGTAAGTAGGCAAGTGTGCAGGATGAAGTAATTGGTAAAAGAGACTGTTTTGTTTGCTTGTAAACAGGTGTAAGTAACATGGCATTTCGTCACCTAATTGAGTTCACCTATACAGCAAAACTAATGGTCCAAGGTGAGGAAGAAGCAAATGATGTTTGGAAAGCAGCCGAATATCTACAGATGTTAGAAGCAATCAAAGCACTTGAAATCAGGTGAACACCTAAGTCTCTTTTTCTTCCCACCACTGAAATGTAGACTCTTAACAATCCTTTTACAAGAGCTGGCTGCCTGTATTTTGCAGTGCTTTCTTATCCTGGGACCTTCTAAACCTGTGTGGGACCGTATAAACTTTGACTATAAAATATGGATCAAAATTACAAAGGCTTAAAAGTGAACGTCACATTCTTTGGGCTGGAACTTGATGACAAGTGACATGGCTGGTAGATGTTGCAGACATTGTAGGCCTGTGACTTTGTGTTAACTAATACTAGGTCTCAGTGCTGACTACCCACACCTGATTGACAGTTGGGTGTACAATGAAAATTTGCCTCAGGTAATTGGACCACATTAACAAATTTGTGCTAGTGTTTTGATTTCATGTAGCTTTCTGCTTTCAAGAGAATAGGCAGTGATTAAAAAACTTCAAGGTGCAAAGTTAATCTCTTGAACAAATGTAATTGTTATCAGCTTTATATGGGATCAGTACTTATTCAAATGTTGCTGTTTAATCAAATGTTTTAGATCTATTTCCATCATTTATAGATTTTTTTTTTTTGTGGGGTTTCTTTGGTTAGAAAAAAACGTGTATCACTATCAGTCTCAGTTTTCTCCAACCCCAGTAGGAGGGGGAAGAATTGCAATACAGTGCCTCTGAGCCTTGACTGAAAGGGGTAAGCTTCAGAAATTTTAGGTCAAGTAGAGATTATTATAGAACTAACCATTTGTGTAATGAGCTCCACATCACATAATCTAGACTAGAAAGAAAACAGCCAGCTGTTATTCCTTGAGGTACAGTGTGTTGTATGTGTGTATCCCCATCCAGAGTTTCACACCTGAGTCACACAATGTGCTCAAGGATGGTAGTCTCTCTCCTCTCTGTCGAGCAGATTATTATTTTGGTATGTGATCCTGGAGCTCCTTGCAGTAATGTGCAAAATTGCTGTCACCACCTAGACATCAGAAATCCAGGCTAGATGGAACTATAAGTATAGCTGCTCTGTCGATCTGTATCTGAATATTTAATAAGCAATTTAATAAGCTGCATCCTGCATTGTCATTAGCCACATCTGTGCCATATGACATACATATATTCTAGAAAAACCTTATCTCTCCTATTACTACCAAACATGAAAATAGATATGGAGTAGCTTACATAAAAGGATTCATCAGGCTGTAAAGGAAGGTAAAAGCCCGAATTACTCTTGTCAGTTTGATTTGAGGGGAAAATAGCCACTCATTTTTTCAAAACTGATACATGCTGGAGGTTTTGCTAATGATGTAAGTGCTGTTGACACCTGTGAGAGTGCGACTTCAAAGCATTGGCCCACTCAGCTGTCTGTGTTTAAGATGGCATGTTATCCCTGACATCTTGGAGGAAGGGGCTTCTGTGTTTATGGTGCAAGAAGAGGATCAGGGTTGGGGGTTGTGTTTAAGCCCAGAAAATTAAACTAGAATACTCTATCCACATCCCAGTGTCTGCTTTAAAAAAAAAAAAAAAAAATCAAACACCCCCCCCCCAAACAAAAAGACCCAACAAAAACCTTATCTGTGCGCTTTCCTGAAGTATGAGATGTTATAATAATCACTGTGTGAAGTCACAGCTGTAGTGTTTTCTAGCAAGCTGCAAGTACTGCAGACAATTGCATTCACTACAGAGCTTAAGAGGTGAATAGTGTAGGAAGGACTTGAATCTTATTTCTGAGTAGGCAGGCCAAATAACTGCTTCCTTTGGGCAAATTTTCTTACCAGATACAGAATTTCACAAGTTTCTTAGATAAATTTATGTCTTTAGACTAATTGGCTTTTCTTCTTGATAGCTCCACTGGAACAATATACATTAGCTATTTAAAACAATTAGAAACAGAATCATAGAATAGTTAGGGTTGGAAAGGACCTTAAGATCATCTAGTTCCAACTCACCTGCCATGGGAAGGGACACCTCACACTAAACCGTGTTGCCCAAGGCTCTGTCCAACACTGCCAGGGTTGGAGCATTCACAACTTCCTTGGGCAACCCTCGCCACCCTCACGGCAAATAACTTCTTCCTTATATCTAACCTAAACTTCCCCTGTTTAAGTTTGAACCCATTATCCTTTGTCCTGCCACTGCAGTCTCTAATGAAGAGTACCTTCCCAGCATCCTTATAGGCCACCTTCAGATACTGGAAGGCTGCTATGAGGTCTCCACGCAGCCTTCTCTTCTCCAGGCTGAACAGCCCCAACTTTCTCAGCCTGTCTTCATATGGGAGGTGCTCTAGCTCCCTTGTCATCCTTGTGTCCCTCCTGTGGAGTTGCTCCAACCATTCCATATCCTTTTTATGTTGAGGACACCAGAACTGCTCATAATACTCCAAGTGGGGTTTAATGAGAGCAGAGTTAGAGTGGCAGGATCACCTCCTTTGACCTGCTGGTCACACTCCTTTTGGTGCAGCCCAGGATACGGTTGGCTTTCTGGGCTGCGAGTGCACACTGAAGACAGCTCATGTTCAGTTTCTCATTGACCAACACCCCCAAGTCCTTCTCTGCAGAGCTGCTCTGAATCTCTTCTCTCTCCAACCTGTAGGTGTGCCTGGGATTGCCCTGACCCCTTGCATTTGGCTTGGTTGAACTTCATGAGGTTGGCATTGGCCCACCTTGCAAGCGTGTCAGGGTCCCTCTGGATGGCCTTCTTTCCCTCCAACGCATCAACCGAACCACACAGCTTGGTGTCATCGGCAAACTTGCCAAGGGTGTACTCAGTCCCACTGTCCATGTCACTGGCAAAGATGTTGAACAAGACCAGTCTGAACACCGATCCCTGAGGGACGCCACTCATTACTGTTTTCCAACTGGACATTGAGCTGTTGACCACAACTCTTTGTGTGCAGCTATCCCTCCAGTTCTTTATCCATCGAGTGGTCTGTCTATCAAATTGTTGTCTCTCCAGTTTAGAGTCAAGGATGTTGTGCAGGACAGTGTTGTATGCTTTGCACAAGTCCAGGTAGATGATGTCAACTGCTCTGCCCCTGTCTGTCACTTCAGTAACCTTATGTCAGAGTTTCCACAACATTAACCGTACTATTCTATAGCTGTAAGGAATATAGATTAAGGACAAAGTCGCTTCCAAAATGCATGTAGTGTATGTGGTAGTTCATCATTCAGCTGCTTTGAGAAACAGCTAGTGAATGTTTAATGTAGGAGCTCACTATCAGGCAGGAATGTTTATGTAAGTGCTTATGGATCTTAACTATATTTATGTAAATGCTTTCCAGGAACAAAGAAATTTCATCACCCTTAGAATCAAATCAAACACAAGATAAAAATAAACCAAAGAAGAGGAAGGTAGCTGAAACCTCTAATGTTATCACAGAAACACTACCACCTGCAGAATCAGAGCCTGTTGAAATTGAGGTTGAGGTTGCTGAAGGGATGATTGAAGTGGAAGATGACAGCATCGAAACACTTGAAGTAGCTTCTGCAGAGCAATCCATAAAGTACATACAGACAACAGGTACATCAGATGCATCCGCTTTGGCTCTTTTAGCAGATATCACCAGCAAGTATCGTCAGGGAGAGGAAAAATGCCAGATCCGGGAAGAAGATGATAGTGCATCTGATACCTTGTGCAAACAGGTAGAAGGTTTTGAAATTGTGGAACTTCAGCCGTCACATATGAAGAATTTATTCCGCTGTGCGAAATGTAACCGTTCATTTAAATTGTTTTACCATTTTAAGGAACACATGAAAACACACTCTACTGAGAGGTACAAGTGTGACATATGCAAAAAGAGGTACCTACGAGAGACTGCTTTGAAACAGCACCTCACCTGTTACCACCTTGATGAAGGTGGTGCCAGCAGGAAGCAAAGATCTGGTAAAAAAATACATATATGCCAGTACTGTGATAAGCAGTTTGACCACGTTGGACATTTTAAAGAGCACCTTCGGAAGCACACAGGTAAGAGCATTTCTATAGTTCTGTCCTTGTGACCTTAGCTCTAACATTTTGGGGTTTTGCATGTTTTGGGGAAATAGAGAATATACTGAAGAGAACATGTGAGTCCTGAGTGGTAGAAATACTTGGCTTCTAGTTACAACTAAAATACTGGCTTGGTGTGTGTGTGTGTGGGGGGGGGGGGGGGGGGTTATGTCTTGTTTTTCTTTGTTTGTTTTGCTGTTTGTCCTGGTTTCAGCTGTAACAGTTTTTTGTTTGGGTTATTTTTGTGTGTGAGTGTTGATTTGGAGAAAACTCCAGGAACAAACTTGCCAACAAAGTTTCAAGTTGACAAGCAGGTATTCTTTATTGCGGCACTGGGAGACATGGGGGATAGCTCCTCCTAACGTGTGTCCCCCTATTGCTACACAAGCCATCCTTATATAGTTCCTGGGCATACGTACATATTCATGAGGCTACTTATGGATTACATTATTTTCCAGACAGTTCCCCGCATGAGTACAGAATTGTGGTGGTGGTCTCTGAGGGTCGTTTACTTCTTCCAACAGTCTTCATCACTTCTGGCAGCCTTTGAAGCACGCGCAGTAGATGCTCATACCAGCTTAATTGGTTCGTTAGCACCAGAGACATAATAATCCTCCCATCCTCCTACTTATCAGTTAGTTTAACTGTAGACCATCCTGGACACCTGCCATTCCTAGATACTCCTTATCCCTGTGTCCTGTTCTTCTACACTGTTTTTCGTACATTCATTTTCTACTAAGGTCATAGGGACTAAAACTATGTCAACTGCAATCGTTTATCTTATACAAGAATTCTCAGTATGTTCTCTAGCTGTACACTTTTTTTTTCTGTGTATCATGCACCTCAGTAATTTTCCATTGCTACTGTTACAAAGCCATCAAACTTAACATTACTTAAAACTGATTCTAAACGTTTCTATATTCAGTTTTGTAATTTTGTGCCCCCCTTGTCTCAGTGTGTGTGTGGTGTTGTTAATTTGTGTGTTTGGTTTTGGGGTTGTGTTTTTCTGTTTGTTTGTGGGTTTTTTTCCTCTCCTTCCTAGTAGCTGTTGCAGTGCTGTGTTCCAGCTTTAGTCTGAGAACAGTGATGATAACAGACAGATGTTTTAGTTGTTGTTAAGTAGCACCCTGATCAAGGACTTTTCATTCTCTCATGCTTTGTCAGTGAGGCGGGGCACAAGAAGTTGGGAGGAAGCAGAGACAGGACACCTGACCCAAACTAGCCAAAAGGGTATTCCATACCACAGCATGTCATGCCCAGTATATAAACTGTGGGAGTTACCCAGAGGGGACCAGTTGCTGTTTGAGTCAGGCTGGGTATCAGTCAGGGGGTGGTGAGCAATTGTACTGTGCATCACTTGTTTTTACTGTTTTTTGTTTTGTTTTGTTTTTCCCCTTTCCACTTCAAGCTTTATATTCTCTCTCCTTGTTATTTCCCTTATTATTAATAATAATATAATATTGTACTTTAGTTACTGGACTGTCCTCATCTCAACCTGGGGGATTTAAATTCTTTTGATTTTCCTCCCCATCCTGCCAAGGGAAGAGGTGGTGTGAGTGAACAGCTGTGTGGTGCTGAGTTACCAGCTGGGTCTAAACCATGACACCATTGATAGAAGCTTTGGGGGAATGAGGTGGTTAAAAACAGTTACCTGAAAACAGAAGCACTAATGAAGCTTCTTTCTCAAGTCTGTTAGATCTTAAAGTTTTTTTCAGAATCATTTCTTAAAGCATATTTTCTTCTCCAAAATTACCAAACCGAGGAGCCACTCATTTTCACAATTCTACCACTAAGTATTTCTGTTGAAATATGATCTGAACTGTGATCTTTAGTGGAATACACAGTTTAAAGAAACCTTTTAACTAACAGAATATCTGAATAAATGCCTATTAATGAATTAGGTGTAAAATAGCCCCTAACAACTCTCTTGTACCATCTTCTCTGAGAGTTTCATTATTGCTCTTGATATCTTACCTATGATTTAATCTTCTTTGTTAGTTAACAGAGCAAATCTTTTCTAGCAACTGACAAAGAAGTCTACTACTGCAAAATATGCCTCTGAAACATGGATAGCATATTTTGAGTACAAAATGACTCGTGCTACTTTTATATGGGAGGTTAGGGTGCTACTTCATCTTACTAAAAAGCTTTTACTATCTGAATAGGTACTGAACGTTATATGCATATTTATGTATATAAAATATATATTGTTCTGATATTTCAGAAGTTTCTGTTTAATATGTCAGTCATGAATCATCAGAATTTAATGGAGAGTAGCAGTCCTACTTCTTTCTCAGCTTGTTGTTGCTGCCAAATCATTTTAAATGGAACTTCTTTGCATTTGTGTATGGGACTGTGGAGCGTTGATATTGGTCAGTGTATGATTGGCTCAGGAAGGCCAGTGTTACTCTTATCTACAAAAAGGGCAAGAAGGAGGACCTGGGAAACTACCAGCCAGTCAGCCTCACCTCCATCCCTGGAAAGGTGATGGAATGGCATCCTGGAGGTCATCATCAAACACATAGAAAAAGAAGTCATCAGGAATAGTCAGCATCGATTCAACAAGGGTAAATCGTGCTTGACCAGTCTTGTAGCCTTTGATGATGACATAGCAAAATGGGTCAACAAGGGGAAAGCCGTGTATGTTATCTACCTTGACTTCAGCAGGGCTACTGACACAGTCTCCCATAAAATCCTTGTAGGTAAGCTTAGGAAATGTGAGTTAGATGAATGGGCAGTGAGGTGGATCAAAAACTGGCTGCATGGCAGAGTTCCAAGGGTTGTGATTAGCAGAGTACAATGCAGTTGGAGGCCTGTAGTCAGTGGTGCTCCCCAGGGATTAATACTGGGTCTGGTTTTAGAATCATAGAATCGTTAGGGTTGGAAAGGACCTTAAGATCACCTAGTTCAACCCCCTGCCATGGGCAGGGACACCTCACACTAAATCATGTTGCCCAAGGCTCTGTCCAACCCAGCCTTGAACGCTGCCAGGGATGGAGCATTCACAACTTCCTTGGGCAACCCATTCCAGTGCCTCGCCACCCTCACAGCAAATAACTTCTTCCTTATATCTAACCTAAACTTCCCCTGTTTAAGTTTGAACCCATTACCCTTTGTCCTGCCACTGCAGTCTCTAATGAAGAGTCCCTCCCCAGCATCCTTATAGGCCACCTTCAGATACTGGAAGGCTGCTATGAGGTCTCCACGCAGCCTTCTCTTCTCCAGGCTGAACAGCCCCAACTTTCTCAGCCTGTCTTCATATGGGGGGTGCTCTAGCTCCCTTGTCATCCTTGTGTCCCTCCTGTGGAGTTGCTCCAACCATTCCATATCCTTTTTATGTTGAGGACACCAGAACTGCTCATAATACTCCAAGTGGGGTTTAATGAGAGCAGAGTTAGAGTGGCAGGATCACCTCCTTTGACCTGCTGGTCACACTCCTTTTGGTGCAGCCCAGGATACGGTTGGCTTTCTGGGCTGCGAGTGCACACTGAAGACAGCTCATGTTCAGTTTCTCATTGACCAACACCCCCAAGTCCTTCTCTGCAGAGCTGCTCTGAATCTCTTCTCTCTCCAACCTGTAGGTGTGCCTGGGATTGCCCTGACCCCTTGCATTTGGCTTGGTTGAACTTCATGAGGTTGGCATTGGCCCACCTTGCAAGCGTGTCAGGGTCCCTCTGGATGGCCTTCTTTCCCTCCAACGCATCAACCGAACCACACAGCTTGGTGTCATCGGCAAACTTGCCAAGGGTGTACTCAGTCCCACTGTCCATGTCACTGGCAAAGATGTTGAACAAGACCAGTCTGAACACCGATCCCTGAGGGACGCCACTCATTACTGTTTTCCAACTGGACATTGAGCTGTTGACCACAACTCTTTGTGTGCAGCTATCCCTCCAGTTCTTTATCCATCGAGTGGTCTGTCTATCAAATTGTTGTCTCTCCAGTTTAGAGTCAAGGATGTTGTGCAGGACAGTGTTGTATGCTTTGCACAAGTCCAGGTAGATGACTTCAGCTGCTCTACCCCTGTCCATCAGTTCCCTAGCCCTATCATAGAAGGCTATCAGATTGGTCTGGCAGAATTTCCCCTTAGTGAAGCCATGCTGGCTGTCACCAAGCACCTTGTTGTTCTTCATGTGCCTTAGCATGCTTTACAGGAGAATCTGCTCCAAGATTTTGCCAGGCACAGAAGTGAGACTGAGTAGTCTGTAATTCCCTGGATCATGCATTTTTCCCTTTTTGAAAATGGGGGTTATATTTCCCTTTCTCCTGTCATTGGGAGCTTCACCTGACTGCCATGATTTTTCAAATATGATGGACAGTGGCTTAGCAACTTCATTTGCCAGCTCCTTCAAGACCCATGGATGGATTTCATCAGGTCCCATGTACTTGTGCATGTTCTGATTTTTGAGATGGTCTTGAACCAGATCTTCTCATACAGTGGGACTCGGGTCTTTATTCTCATAGTCCCTGTATCTGCCTTCCAAGACTTGGGTGGTATGGTCAGAGCATTTGCCAGTCAAGACTGAGGCAAAGAAGTCATTCAGAACCTCAGCCTTCTCCAAATCCAGGGTTGCCAGTTCCCCTCATATCTTCTGGAGAGGGCCCACATTGTCCCTAGTCTGTCTTTTATTTGCTACATACTTATAGAAACCCTTCCTGTTATGTTTGACATCCCTAGCCAAGTTTAATTCTAACTAGGCCTTAGCTTTCCTAACCTGGTCCCTAGCAATATCCCTGTATTCTTCCCAGGCTGCTTGTCCTTGATTCTGCCTTTTATAAGTTTCTTCTTTCCCCTCTGAGTTTCCTCAGCAGCTCCTTATCCATCCAAGGAGGTCTCCTGGCCCTCCTGCTGCATTTTCTTTTAGTTGGGACACAACATTCCTGAGCCTGTAGCAGGTGATCCTTGAATATCAACCCACAGTTCTGGGCCCCCCTGCCCTCAAGAGCTATATATATTGCCCTATTCCTTTTTTTTTTTG